TTTTTAGCTGTTGTAATCATTTGAAGTGTATGATTATACAATAATAGAAGATGAAGATTAGTACAGGATCATGTAAAAGTGACCTCTATCTAAGACATGTTACATGTAATACAAAAAAAAATACGCACAAATTTAAAAATAAAAATAATTATAATTAATTGTCATGAAGCAATAGATTAGTGCACAGCCACAACACTGTCAGTGCAGTGCACACAGGCGGTGGCTGTTACTCTGGTGCACTAAGCTAGAGGAACACCAGTTTTTTTACCAGCGCACCAGCTAAACAAGGGTAGAACGAGTACCGGTGCCACCCCCCCCCCCCCCCCCCCCCAGCACTGATAAAATTTTCATTTGCCATCACATTTATGCAGCAAATGTTCACAGATAAACCAAAGACGTCCATTATTTATCATAGGCAAATTTAAAAAAAAAAAAAAAAGTGATGATTACAAAAATGTCAACATAGATAAATGCATCGTTAATCATTTAACATGGGAGGATTTAATGGGCCTTTGTCTGAAACCTCTCATCCAGATTGTGGAGCTGAAACCTTTCATCCAGATTGTGGAGCTGATTTGTGGTTTAAAAATCAAGCAGAACATTTAAAAAGTGCGATCAAACAAAACAGAAAGAAAATTAGATCTATATTTAGAAAATGTCAACACAATGGGCTTATTCTGTGGCATCAATACAAGGTGAAGTTGGTCTACAATAATTTTATACACAATATTATATGTATGCACAGTTTTACAATCATGTAGAAAAAACAAAACAATTTACATCAATACAAAAAGTACATCAATTTTCCTGGACAAATAGTTTGAAAAATACACTAAATACACAGAGAAATCCCTGACGTTAATGATTTTATAAGGTGGTCACCACTGACATCATGATTTTATAGGGTGGTCACCACTGACATCATGATTTTATAGGGTGGTCACCATTGACATCATGATTTTATAGGGTGGTCACCATTGACATCATGATTTTATAGGGTGGTCACCACTGACATCATGATTTTATAGGGTGGTCACCATTGACATCATGATTTTATAGGGTGGTCACCACTGACATCATGATTTTATAGGGTGGTCACCACTGACATATGATTTTATAGGGTGGTCACCACTGACATCATGATTTTATAGGGTGGTCACCACTGACATTCATTGCCAGGACCTATGGCTTTATAAAAATTTCAGGCCCAACATAAACTAATGCCACAAATGATGTACTCAGTGATGTACTCAGATAATTTATGGTTTAATAAGAAGAAATGTCAAAAATATTATTTTTCATTACACGTATAATTAATAGCTATATATATATATTTATCTTAATGTAAATTTTCAAAAAATCAAAATGTATTAATTATTGGTAGTAGAAGTTCAAAGTGGTATATAAGCAACAGCAGCCAAAGTCCACGGCTAATTATTTGATCAACTCTCGGCCACAAGAAACTATTACAAAATTTGAAAAGTGCGAAGAAACCGCCATCTTGAATTAACATATATAAAAATTCTCATGTACATAATGATGCAAGATCCAGATCTATTTGAGCAGATTAAATGGAATTTAAAAAAAAAAAAAAAAACTATTTCGTTTATTTTTTTTTTTTTGGATTTCAAATCTAATGTAAAGGAGTCAATATAAAAAAAATACTGTTTTTTTGTGCCTTTGCTTAGAATAATTTTCATTCTTGAATTAACATATATAAAAATTCTCATGTACATAATGATGCAAGATCCAGATCTATTTGAGCAGATTAAATGGAATTTAAAAAAAAAAAAAAAACTATTTCGTTTATTTTTTTTGTTTTGGATTTCAGATCTACTGTAAAGGAGTCAATATACAAAAAATACTGTCTTTTTGTGCCTCTGCTTAGAATAATTTTCATTGACAGATTCACTGCCTGCTGCACAGTGGTTCTTCTCAAACTCTTTTCGACTTGGGGGGTTGGATCAGCAAATTTTTAATACATTTTATAAAAATCACAAGTTCAGTTTCAATTGCCGTAAAACTATTTATGACACTTTAAAAAAAAAAATAAACGCAAAAAGCCTCGTTGTTACAAATGAATAATACCATTGAATCCATTGAATCCATTGAAAGTCAACATTGTTGTTGCTGTGGATAAATGAGCAAATAAAACATTTCATTGTCAGAGCTAAACACCCTTAAAGACCTGGAGGAGTGCTGCAGTGTGCAACCTGCTCACCAGATAGCATTGTTTAGTTCCAACTTTCCTCACATTTAAGAGCAACTAGATGACTGTCCTGATGATAAAATATTTACCACATTTTTTTTTTGCTTGTTCACATTATGGGCAGATCCGTTTATAATTTAAAATTTTTTTTTCCAAACTCCGATGTTTAAAAAAATTAATAATTTCAAACTAAATATTGTTTCCCCCTTTAAATTGCTCTTACATGTGTGGAATCGAGAAAAGGCAGCCTTTTTGTAATACTGTGTAGGCCTGAAGTAAGAGTTTGTGGCAACATGAGGTAACACTTATGGTCAAACTATCTTCTGCTGGGTCATGGGGTTATATCTTGGGTCAAGGTCATACATTTGTAGATAGATAGAACTCATAAATGTATGCATGCAGAATCATAATTTTCATCTCATGAAAAAATATTAATACAATTTCAAAAGCGTAATGTCATAAATCTAAACAGTATTAGAAATGTCATGTTTGTAAATGTATACAATATCAGAAGTCGGCCAGGGCATAATGGCATATGTGGATGAAACCAATTCATTGCTGGCTTTATTTTTTTTTTATATCTCTACTCTGAGATTAAGTAGAAAATCATAAACACAAAAAAAAAACAAAAAAAAAAAAAAAAAAAAAAAAAAAAACAAAAAAAAAAAAAAAAAATAAAAAAAATGAACTGAATTGCCATTTCTGCTTTTAGCAAGTGGTTTTAACAAAAATGATTGTAACATGTTTACGGATGTAAAAGGAACAAGAATTGAAATAAGGACAAATATGATTCAGATCTGTTCATGTCAACAATGAGACTGCGGGTAAAGATTGCTTGGCTGAGAAAGAGGCAGATTTATGTTTTGTTTAAACTGTCGAGATATTGTTTCAGCTTAGAGAGTAGGCCTAGAGCAAGTTCATCTGCATATTATTTCAGTTTAAAGAGTAGGCCTAGAGCAAGTTCATCTGTATATTGTTTCAGCCTAGAGAGTAGGCCTAGAGCAAGTTCATCTGCATATTGTTTCAGTTTAAAGAGTAGGCCTAGAGCAAGTTCATCTGCATATTATTTCAGTTTAAAGAGTAGGCCTAGAGCAAGTTCATCTGCATATTATTTCAGCCTAGAGAGTAGGCCTAGAGCAAGTTCATCTGCATATTGTTTCAGTTTAAAGAGTAGGCCTAGAGCAAGTTCATCTGCATATTGTTTCAGTTTAGAGAGTAGGCCTAGAGCAAGTTCATCTGTATATTTATGCTATTCTTTAACGAGGGCCTAAAATCTAAATACACTTAGGCTGAATATAAATACACTTAGGCTGAATATAAATACATGTAGGCTGAATATAAATACATGTAGGCTGGAACTGCTCAAAATAAAATCATTAAAAAGAGGGGGGGGGGAGGGGGGGAGGGGGGGTATTGAAAATATTGCAGAATGTAGGGCTTCTCCCAGTGTCCCTCTTTTTCAGCTTAACAAAATGGCCACAGGCATGACCTCATAGATAAGTCATAAGTTAATAATTGGAACTGCTCAAAATAAAATCATTAAAAAGAGGGGGGGGGGGGGGGGGGAGGGGGGGTATTGAAAATATTGCAGAATGTAGGGCTTCTCCCAGTGTCCCTCTTTTTCAGCTTAACAAAATGGCCACAGGCATGACCTCATAGATAAGTCATAAGTTAATAAATGAGATCCATTCACATACATTTAAATGATATATTAAATAGATTCTGTTTATACATTGTACAGTATCAAAAACAGAGTTTCAAGCATAAATAGTCCTCTTACTTTTAGAGTTGAACATAAGACGCCAAGTGGAATAGGAGAACGAAAAGCTTTTCACAACTGTCTTCATTGAATTATATTCAAACCCATAAGCGCAACAGTGAGGATGCTGGGGAGATCCATGTCTGCGTATTCATACAACATAAAATGTGAACTTTAAAATTCATCCCGATTCAACACCTTTACAAGTATTGTTTGAATATAGGTTTTTTTTTTGATGTTGAGATTATTTATTGAGATCAAACGATGGAGAGATTAATTAGTTCCTCACAATCAAATTTATTTGTACTTAGATTATAAGAACTTGTCAGAGTAAATATAGATTTAAAAAGAAAAACATTAACTACATTTGAAATGGAAAGTTTCACAATCGAAATCAACGATTAAATACAAAAGAAAAATTGTATGTGAAATATTTTTGTAATGTTCTGTCGTCTTTTATTATGTCTTGGGACCCAAAACAATGGCAAGTGGCGACGTTCTAGAGTCACAATGAGCGGAAAAATTGAAACATGTGAGATGCCGACCCTTCAACAATATTTAGAAGCAACGGTACGAGGGAGGCTTAAAGTGATTAATCTATACAAATGAGGAAATGATATGTCTGCCGAGGATTTTAAAGAACATGAGCAGACTAAAGAACATGAGCAGACTAAAGAACATGAGCAGACTAAAGAACATGAGCAGACTAAAGAACATGAGCAGACTAATGAACAAGAAGATTGTTTTCAATGTAGTCACAACCAGACAACATCCCCAAAGTATGCACTCAATGATATATTTCATATTCATGAATCACTATCAAATGAATCAGAATAGTTTTATTTTAACAGATGGGGTAAATGTAAATTTAAGAATATTCCTAGTAAGTTCAATTTAAAGTTAAAATTTTGAACTGCATCTTGTTTATATAGAAGAAGGAAGTGTTACACTGCTATATTTTTTTAGATAAATAATGAAGAGCAAAAAAATATATATATATATATCAGAATTTAAAAAAACCAAAACCTTTGCGATTGAAATAGTTTGAACATGCTATTTCTTTTCTTTTGTTTTAAAGACCATCCTAACAGGTTGAAAATTCCTTTCTTGAAATAAGAAAAAAAACAAACAAGATAGATCATGCCGAAGTGTATCACAAACTCTGCCGATGAATGTGGTGTAGAGAGTAGAGCGAATATCAGGTGTTGTGTGTTGCGAACACGGCAGACAAACAGCACATCGGATATCAGGTGTTGTGTGTTGCGAACACAGCAGACAAACAGCACATCGGATATCAGGTGTCGACTTATCACGGATAATCACAGGTGTGTTTTTTTCCCAAGCGCTGAACACATTTTTTAAAGATGTGTTTAAGCCGTCAATGCAGGATAAACACTTGAAGAAGATGAATTGAGAAAAACTGAACACATAAACTGTCATGGAAAAAGAAAAGAAATTCAATTTAAGCACAGCTCTAAACACTCCTCAATCACCAGAGAGTAAATCAATATACAGGATGAAGGGGAGAGAAAGAATTTAAAAGAGAAATATAGAGATATAAAGAAAGACCCATTTTGCTAAAGAGTTAGGTGTCTAAATCCATTTATATACATAAAGAGAATCAGGAAATTGTTGAGGTAAACAAGCAAATGTACATTGGGCAATAAAACCGTCTTCTTAATAATGGAACAAGATCTTTAGCACAAGATCTGTGGCACAAGATCCGAAGCACAGAGTCTGTCTAAGATGTAGGTGTACAAGTAAAAATCCTAATATGTTTCTCTATTGGCAAAGAATAGTATTTGCTGTACATAGGATGTAGATTATTTCTTGATAGAGGAATATATCCCAGCTTCAGAATAAATAGCTTTATTTAAAGGGATGTGGGACATCATGTTGTCATTGTTCTAATAAATATTAATCAACATAGTGTTATTGACAGTTATAAATATATGGAGCTTCTATGGCTGATCAAAATTAACTGTTAGAGATCTGGCTTCTTGAAATATATACTTTTTAAATTAATCTGCCACTATAATCTAACATTTCATTATTTAGAAGAGTTCACATGAAAACAATCAGAAAATGCAACAATAAACAAAAATATTTGAATATTATAAACCATAGAAATGGCACAATTACAGCTTTTCAAAATTGTCATGATAGGCAGTTCTGCATCACTGTCATGTTAATGTCTAATATTTACTGTAAAACTCCAATATATGCACAGACAATTTTAGCAGGTTTTGTTAAATTTGTCCACTAAATGGCTAAGGGGGCCATTAAAAATCTGTACCATCATGAAAGAACAAGCCAAAAATATCGAAACGATGAAAAATTTAACAACTATTTACAAATAGCCTACACATTATATCATTTTCAACAACAAGAAAACTGGTTCTTAAATATTTAGGAAAAGAGGAACAGAAAATTATTTTCAAACTTGGTCAACCTGATGCTACAATGGCGTGGCATTTAGAACTGTGTCATTTTGTTTGGATATCTTAAGATGAAATCAACCCCATTGTGTTTACTGTTAACATAGGAGTGTACATGATCTGGCTGTACATCATTAATTTTATAAATCTAAATTTTTTTTAAAAACTAGTTATAGTCCGCCAAACAATGTTATAGCAATGAGTGAAGCTCCCATCTACTCAAGCTACTTGACAAAACATGGAACTCAAGTAACACACTTTTTCAGCATCCCAAATAGTGCTACACCCTCCCCCATGAATCATATCAAAAAAAGTGCTACACCCTCCCCCATGAATCATATCAAATAGTGCTACACCCTCCCCCATGAATCATATCAAATAGTGCTACACCCTCCCCCATGAATCATATCAAATAGTGCTACACCCTCCCCCATGCATCATATCAAATAGTGCTACCCCCTCCCCCATGCATCATATCAAAGAGTGCTACACCCTCCCCATGAATCATATCAAATAGTGCTACACCCTCCCCCATGAATCATATCAAATAGTGCTACACCCTCCCCCATGAATCATATTAATTTACCCAATATTTTATTACACCATATTTAATTTGAGACAGTTCTGATTTCCATTTAAAAAAAAAAAAAACACAGTTGCTGTATTTTAAAAAAAACAAAAACATTTGGCATATCCATTTTTATAAACCTGTAAGTTTACACTGTGACGAAGCCTAACTTTTGAGATAACTAGCTGATAACTAAATTACTAGAATAGGATGTTGAAAAATAAAATCTGTTATCATTTATAATTTATTGTTTGAATCTGATGATGAAAATGGCTTCATGCCAATGATTGTAGGATCATGTTGGCAAAACAAACAAGAAAGAAACCCCTGTAAAATCTCCCTGAGAAGTGAACGCATGTTCACATTTTCTTTTCTTTAGCATTTGATAAACATGAAAATAACAAAACTTTGCTTCTTTGTTCACCATTCAATGCCAGGGGCAGCCATAGGTGAAAATTGTTCACAAGTTTGGTTATTTAAAAGCACTTATGTTACCTGTCGAGAAATTTAAAACAAACATTTATACAACAGAGATTAGAACCATCAAATGAAACCCTCAGATCAGGAACAGAGCCTCAAATATTTAACAATTATTTATGACATTAAAAATCAAGCTTTTTTTAATGCATTAAATGACATATCTTCAAAACTTTAAAGAAAAAATGTTAAAAATTAAAGCTGCAAAAATAATAAAAGTTAAGACAATGTTCCTAGAGAGCCCAGTGATGTAAATGTTATTTATTAGAGCCCAGTGATGTAAATGTTATTTATTAGAGCCCAGTGATGTAAATGTTATTTATTTCTGCATCAAATTTTCAAACACGGGAGGCTGTTGCTTTTTGTTTCACAATTTCTTCCATGTTTTGTAGATCATGAAATGATGGGAGAAGGGGCTTGTTGCTTTTTTAAAAATTGAATTTTGTATTGGGTGGAGTGGGGGGGTGGAGTGAGGGGTGGAAATAATTGTAGCTATAGATGACCCTAAGTTATTGACATAAATTCATAAGGGATTCGTTGAATAATAAAATTATAATTTGACTATTTTAAGCAAGTCTGACTTTAAGGAAACATTCCAAATTTTAAATTTCATTTAAAGACAAAGAGCTGACATGATCGATCACCCAGGCGATCGATTGACAAAAAAAACCCCACACAAGTTCTCGTATAGAGGTCACTCACGGCTTGACCCCTAGGATATAGATCTAGTTTTAGTTTTCAGATCAATAAAAACAGGATGTAAAAGTAATTAAATCACATATCTTTGTGTATGAGTGACATCAACAGAAAATAATTGGCTCCAAAAAAACAAAAACAAAACCAACTGCATTTATTGTTTGCCACTAGTGACAGAAATGAGCTGCAGCTACAACACCATGGTCAATGATGGAGACTTTAACAAATCCTTTCAGTGCTTCTAGGTCACCTCAAGGGTCAGGTAACTGCCAGTAGACACACACATACACACACAGAGATGTTACATTTCTGCCTCTAATGTTGAGCCATAGATGAGCCATCCAGAACTTTGCAAATAGATGAGCCATCCACAACTTTGCAAATCATCATCAATGACTACTGCACATGAATTTCAGTAGGGTTACACACAATATAGAAAAAATTCAGTTGTATCCTTTCATAGAAAAATGTTCAGTCACCACACAACAACACGCCAGTGCGACACACAGCAGCACACCAGTGTGACACACAGCAACACACCAGTGCGAACACAGCAACACACCAGTGTGAACACATTAAGATTAAACTCGAATGCTGATGATAGCTTTGGATATTTCCATTCTAAAGTCCTTTATTAGTGGACTTGAACGACTCAACACTTGGGTGCATCAAATGAAATGATAACAAAATGTCATTACTCAAAGTATAACCTCACCTGAATCAATAATTGCATTTGGTTATCCTTAGCACAACGAAACATGAAAAGTTTGTTTACAATGGATGTGTGGCAGCGTTTGGGGTGCGGCACTTTCCACGGCTAAAAAATGCATTTCCTTAAAAATTCATTCTCTGAGCTTCTTGTTCTATTTACATATTTAATTTTCCACAAGAAATACCCAGAACAACATCAATGTGGTGCGGGGACTTGGGACCAAACAAAATGTGACAAAATTAAAATGTCATCCAGTGGAGAATAATTTAATTGTTTATTTGTTCGCTTGCTGTACATAACATAAAGGGTTGTCGTTTTTTGTTTTTTTTTAAATTTATCCGGCGAGGCCATTGGGTTGGATTTAATTAAGAGTGTAAAGTACAATCCTTATTTCAGAGACCATTTCTTTAATTAGCGAAGAAAGGTCTGCTGCAGTGGCTGTTATTTGTTTTGTACAAAGCAGTGGTGAAAATTATTTTTAAAATACAAAATTTTTACCACAAATATGTCAGTAAAAGCTGCTGGATGCCAGAATGATGTAAAATAAAAATAAAAAACTGATAAAGAGTTCAGTCGTGAAAGTTGTCCGTATTCTGCAGATATCAATGGATAGACACTGTAAATCACTGTGAAATTTGTCGCAATGGAATAGAAATGTTATTTTTTAAGATCTCACAGTTAATCTGACTGAACTTTTACAGGATTCATTCCGCCTTAAGTCTTTTCATGTCGACCATTTCATTGAAACCCGGGGCAAGCGATTTATCCCTGAAAACAGAAGGTGAGCTGGCGGCCATCTTGTTGTACTGATGGGCAGGAGAGGGAACCAGTGGTTTGGCGGAGTGGGCGGGGATCGGGGCATTTACTTGGTTGTTGTTGTGGCTGACGTTGTTGTTGTTGGTCGGGGACGTTGTCGTGCGGGACTTGACCATGTACGACGATGACGGCGACAGAGCTTTGCCAACCAGAGAATATGGAGCGGACGAGCTGGGAGATCCGGCCGATTCACGCCTGGCCGCCTCTTTGGCCTTGAACTTCATCAGTCTTGTTTTGTGAGCTTCTTGCTGGCAGTGAACCTTGAACTCCAAGATGGTGGAAAATCTTTCGTTGCAAGCTCTGCATTCATACTGGACCTGCTCCAGCTTCATGATGGACTCATACCCTTTGGGCAGGGAGGCAGATGCGGCAAGACAAACTGCCCGCTGATGAGCGACACAGGACTCTCTGGCGGGGTAGACCATCTGACACTTCTTGCAGATGTAGCCGACGTCGAGGGTGGCCTCTGCGGCCACTGTCAGGTCGGCGGCACTGACCACACTGTGAAGGTCGGCAAGAGCCTGGCAGTCTTGTGTGTAACGTGCAAGCACTGCGCCGGCCTCTGCCAGTTTCTCGCTTACTGACTTGATGGCTGCGGCCGGGATCTGAAGAAGTGACAGCGGTGTTCCGTAGGCCAAGGGGTCGTAAGCCATCATGTGCTCAGCTCCTTTAGATCAATTTAAAAACAAAAACAAATTTAAAACTTGTTGAAATGAGTTTAATTATCATTTTTGGTGTTCATGTATTTCTGGGAATATTTGTAGGCCTATCTATC